CGCCCTGCCTTCCTCGTGTCGAGGGACGGCAGCGCGCCGCTCCTTACTCCTCCTCATTTCCCCCGACGACTGCTCCCCTGCAGACCCTCCACATGGACGTGTGGGGCCCAGCCCGCGTCAGTGGACAGGGCTGAGAGCGCTACCTTCTGCTCGTTTTTTACGACTACACACGTTACACCACGGTCTTCCCCTTGCGCACCAAGGGTGAGGTCCCTGACGTTCTGATCCCTTGGATCCGCGCTGTCCGTCTCCAGCACCGCGAGCGCTTCGGCCAGGACCTTCCTGTCCTGCGTCTGCACTCTGACAGAGGTGGTAAGTTCTCCTCCGACCTCTTGCGGGACTTTTGTCGTGGGGAGGGCATCACCCAGTCGTTCACGCTTCTAGCCTCTCCGCAGCAGAATGGGATTGCTGAGCGTCGCATTGGCTTAGTCATGGAGGTCGCTCGTACCTCCATGATCCATGCGGCTACTCCCCATTTTCTGTGGCCGTTTGAGGTCCGGTACGCTGCGCATCAGCTCAACCTCTGGCCCCGTGTTTCCTTGCCGGAGACCTCGCCAGCACTGCGTTGGACGAGGGAAGTTGGCGAAGCGTCGGTGTTCCGAGTTTGGGGCTCTCGTGCCTTTGTTCGCGTTACGTCCGCGGACAAGCTCTCCCCTGCGTCTTCCTTGGCTTTCCCCCTGACGCGCCTGGATGGCAGTTTTTCCACCCCACCTCGCGCCATGTCCTCCCCTCTCAGGACGTCACGTTTGACGAGTCGGTTCCCTTTTACCGTCTCTTCCCCTACCGCTCTGCCCCTCCCCCGCCCCCGCCGCTCTTCCTTGCTCCCGGTCCTCCTCCGGTAGACCCCCTCCTGCCCCAGGGTCCTGCTCCCTCAGGTGTGCCTCACGTAGACCCCCTCCATGGTCCTGCGCCTGTTGAGGTAGCTGTCGGCTCAGGTGCTGCTCGAGGTGCTACATCAGGGGGTGCAGAGCCGGAGGGTGCGGAGTCTCAGGGTGCTGGTGTTAGAATACTAGCGAGAATGACGAGAATGAGTGACTAGGAAAGGGGGAGGGGTACAAGTACAATGTCGAGAGAAATTGTGTACCCCCTAAGGCTAAACCCACTATAGCCTAGACAACTGTAAACACATGAACTAAGCCTAGATACAACTAAGCATATACGTTTGACACACCCCCATAGGCAAAGTGGGGGATAGCCAGAGCAAGCAATGGTCACAAGACCAGTCAAGAGAAAAAGCAAAGCAAAGCAAGCTCAGGGTGGATCACAAAGTCACCACACAGTCCAAGCACAAGCAAAGGGCCACAAGGCCAGTTCATATGCAAAGTTATATAAAGAGAACAAACAATGCAGTGATCATACCCTAGCAAGTGCAAGCATGCAGGTATATAGATATATCACAGTACAGGCAGAGTCAGGCAGTAAGTAAGTGAGGCAAAGTAGGCACAAGGCCTAGCACAGTAACAAAGCGCTGATGATCACCAGGCGGAAGTGCCTTGGTGAAGACATCAGCAGTGTTGGCCCGAGTGGCCACGTACGCTAGACGAAGCTGACCAGGCTGCTGCAACTCTCGAGCAAGGAAGTATCGCAAATCGATGTGCTTCGTTCTGTGCTCCTGTGCTCCTAACACAAGGCTATCATGGCCTTGTTGTCTACGTACAGGACTGGAGGCGAACGAGGCTGCTCTCCCAAGTCGGTCAGCAAGTAGGTGAGCCAGCGTAGCTCCTGAGCAGCCATGGCTCAGGCATAGATCTCAGCCTCATAGCTGGAGCTGAGAACTGAGGACGAGCGGGTAGAACGCCAAGAAACCGAGCCGGACCCAAGGCTGAAGGTGTAACCCTGCGACGACCACTGCGTAGCTGAGTCGTCAACCCAGGAAGCGTCTGCATGACCAGTGAGGACAACTGGACCCCGTCCTCCAAGCACAAGCCCCATGCCCGACGTACTGCACAGGTAACGCAGTACCCTCTTCGCAGCATCCCAGTGCACCTTTCAGTGCCTCCCGGGAGCCACGTAGCGAGCCAGAAGGCTGAGAGGGTACGCGAGGTCAGGTCGTGTGCAGGTCATCAAGTACATGAGGCAACCCACAAGCTCTGGGTACGGACCACTCGGCTCTGCGGACTCGTCCGAAGGTGGAGCTGAGAGCGAGTGGCTGGTAGACAGAGGAGTGAGCTGTGGCGAGGAGTACTGGAAGCCGAAGCGCTGAAGGACCTGGTGCACCATGTGTGACTGAGTCAGTGTGATGGTGCGCCGTGCTCTGTCCCGGGTGATCTGCAGGCCAAGATAGCTGCGCAGTTCACCAAGGTCAGTGCAGGTATGTCTCTTCTGCAGCTCCGACTTCACAAGGGTCAGTGCCTCAGAGTCAGCCGTGGCAAAGACAAGGTCGTCGACGTACACTAGGACGTAGAAGGGAGGCAGCGAGGTGTCGGGCACGGCCGCACAGTGCCTCCAGCACCTCCAGCTCCAGGGTCAACAGCTCCAGCTCCTGCAGCTCCAGCGCCTCCTGCGTCAGGGCCTCCAACTCCAGCTACACCAGCTCCAGCGCCTCCGGCGCCAGCTGCTCCAGGCTCCGTAGGGTCTCCAGCTCCAGTAGTAACAGCAGCACCTCCAGCTCCAGCGTCTCTAGGCTCGCCAGCCCCAGGGGCTCCACTCCGACGGTGTGGGCGCTGAACAAGCCACTCACGCAACTGCTGCGAGGACAGTCGCGGTAAAGCACCAGCAGGACCTCCAGACGAAGCACCACCCCGAGGCTCAGCACCCCCAGACTCCGCACCCTCCGACTCAGCACCCCCAGGCTCCGCACCCTCGGTTAGGGCAGTGTGTGCGGGGATGACCTGACGTCTTGCAGAGATGACAAAACGGAGGTACGGGTTGTTGACCTTGATACTTGTTTTGTCGATGGTTGTTGTTGTTGTAGCGCCGTTGAGTGTGGAAAGCGAATTCAGACATTGACGTCTTCCTCTTGTGTTTTTCTTCTTGTAGGTCCATGTCTTGCTGTTCGGCGTGAATTTCAGCGCACAATGCTGCTTCGGAGATCTTCCCGTGAGCTCGGAGTATGGCGCGAGTGGAGCGCCAATGAGGACCAAGACCGCAAATGACGACTGTGACGAAGGCGTCTTCTGATATCGACCCTCCGCATTGAAGGAGTTTGTCGCGCAATTCGCGACAGCGGCTGATATACGCCATCCCTTTTTCGCCCGGTTTCATTTCCACTGTTGTCAGTTGTGCCATTAACCGACTCTGATTGACGCTGTCTGTTGCCTGATACAGGTTCTTCAGGTGGTTGTACGCGAGCTCGGCGGAGTTTCCGTATCCTCGGTAAGACCGAATGTTCTGCTGCTGGTTCGGTGTGACGTTGCGTAGTAGGATTGTATACGCCATCATAGATTGATACGTATACTGCTGTTTGTCGTATTGCGTGCCGTTTGTTGGGTATGGCAGGGACCCATCGAAGAATCCAAGAATCTGCGCGCCTTCCATCATCAGTTCGAATTCGAATGACCAGGTAAAGAAGTCCTTTCCGTCGAATGGTCTTGACGTCTGCAGTTTTAAAACGTGCGCAAACTGCGACTGAACTTGAAGTGCATCTAGTGTCTTCTCTTGCTCAGGTGAAGGCTGCTGGCGCGGCATGAAGCTGACGGAACCACGCTGAGGTTCGTACGGGGCGAAGGTAGGTTGTTGCTGATTTCCTCGTGCGTAGGATGAACCGTCGAGGCTCATCGATGTTGCGTTGTTGTTGTTGCTGTTGTTTGACTGTGCAGGTGCCCCTTGCTGGTGTTGTTCGTAGAAGGACATGAAGGAGAAGAATTTCTCCATCATGTCTGGGTCGAAGGCCGCGGCTTGATTTGCGGGAGTTTCTGAAGACGTTGCTCTTGGTCTTGTTGCCGTACCCTCCTCTGTCTGTAGACCAGAGGCAGGTGGTGGGGTAGGAGTAGTACCGGGAGAGCCGTTAGAGGAGCTTCTCTCCTTCTGCGTTGCCATGCCTTGTGATGTTGTGGGTGTCTTGATTGTAGTTGAATTTGTCCTGATTGCTCTCATACCATGTTGGGCTGAAAAAGCCCTTAGGATCTTTGCAGGACTAAATTCAGAGTAGGACAATGTAATAGCGGAAGCGTTAAATGAGAAGTTTGTGAACCACCTTGCGCTAGTATGTGAGGGCAAAGTAGATTGATTAAACAAAGGGATACTGGCTTTTTATAAGAGTACAAGGAATACGAAGAGATATAGTTAATAACCGTTTTGCTGTTGCTGTTGCGGTTCGATACAGTGACGACTCTGGCAACTGCTTAATAGCGAGTCAGTTGTTTGTCCTTGCTGTCGCGCTGTATTTGTCGGGTCAAAGGCCGCTGACCTTTGACTTTCGCGTAACCTCCAGCAGTTGTTCAACCTCCGAGGGTTGACTCGCTAATGCTTCGATATGTTTCGCTTCGCTTCTGATCTGGTGTTTCGACACAACAGAGGCGCTAAATCAATTGTTTCCAACAGTAACTTCCAAGTGCGGTTACTGGGCAGTCAAGGGTCACGACCGTTGACTGTCTTCGACTGTTGACCTTCGGGTGACCCTCGACCTTCCGCATGCTCTATATGAGCTATTGTGATAATGATACAGGCGCGTAGCTTCGTTATGGAGTGACGCGCGAGTGGAGAGCCTTTGGGAATGTTACTGTAACCTTTAGGTTATTCCAACAATGCCTTCGCTCAATGTACTGTTTTGCTCCGATAGTGCAATTCTCGCTCGCTCGCTTAATTGCACTCGTAACATCTGTTCAATAATATCGTACTGCGAAATTTTTACCCGTTCCAAAAAATGTTCCCTTCTAATTTCTTGAACTGTTTGTAGCTATGTTGAACGGAACTGTAATACGCCCTAATTTCAACATGGCCCTTGTCCATGTTTCTGTTTATGAGCCGGTCTGGTCTCATTTTCGCATTTCCTTGCATCTGTCAGGAAACCTGAATCACTCGCATACCTCTCAAACTATCGCCTCCTCGTAGCCACCGCGATGGCCGACGCTGCTGCTCGCCGGGAAGCTCGTCGACGGCGGATCTTGAACCAGGGCAACGAGCGGCTGCGATTTATCACGGGCGATGCGACCGCCATGCAATCGCAACCGCAACAGCCCAGTGGTGAGATCCCGACCTGAAACTATCTTGGTTTGTGGATGCTTGATCCGTCTCTCGTGTACCTCGCGCCCATATTTTTCCGTCCCATATTCTCTAGAGGCCTTTTATGCCGTGCGCGCTAGATTCGACTTCTTCTCAAACCCCGATGCCCCCACCCCCTCTACACTCGCTCCCCTCATCTCTCCCCTCAACCCTTCCCTCTCCCCGCCTCTCCAACTCTCTCCCCACCCTTCCCCCTACTCCTCTCCTTCCCTTGCCCGATTTCTCTATCAACTCCCCATTTGTCCCTTTCGTCCACCCTGTCTCTGTCGATCGCCCCTTCGTCGATCCCGTCCGCGTCCTGTCACGCACAGTTTATACCACGCGTACACTCACAATCCTAGCGCTCGCGTACAGCTACCCATCTAAATCATCTCACCCTGTCCCCGCAAGCCCCACGCGCTCCGATTCGGCTCCTCTCTCCTTTCCCCTTGCCTACGGTTCTGCACGTCACCGTTACTTCATCTCACTCTCACCACCCTCCCTCTTCTCCTCTCTCCCACTGTCTCTCTCCCACGTGGCGCTTCTCTCGTGCCCACGTGCGTCCACAGCATCCACTGATGCCCAGGACACAGCAGTGCCAACAACTATACACCCAGCAGCGCCTGCAGGACCGCCCGCTTCCCCCACCACATCTCCTCCGCAAGACAACCCCCCAGCGTCGCCACCCCTGTCAGGTCCTGCCTTGCCCACTCCGCCCGCACAGCCACAGGCGGGTTCTACACCGTCCTCTGCCACGCCATCCACCACGCCCGCACAGGCTGCTGCTGTGGCTGCCGTGGCAGAGCAAGCAGCACCTGCGCCGTCTGCACCCCTCTCTCCACCGGACCATCATTCCACCGCCCCGCCCTTCCCGTTCGATCCCTTGGCACCCAGCGCTCCTTCATTCCAACATCTGCCCTTCCTCTCCGCCGCACTCGCCCAGCAGCAGCAGCAGCAGCAGCAGCTGGGCGTGAGCGCCCCCCTGCTAGGTCCCATGCAGGCAGGTGCAGGTGGTGCGTTTGGGGCATTCCAGGAGCCAGCACGGCCACAGAAGCGCTCCACAATGCGCCTGCTGCTCTCCATGCAGCAACTGGTGCTCGCCGCCCAGGCCACCGCGCCAGTGCGACTGGCTGTAGCCCTGCTGCTGGCGCTGCTGTACTGCCTGCGCATGCTTCCACTGCACTGCCCGCACCTCACACACTGGCTGCCTGGCCTCACAGCATCTGCTGGCGCTGGAACAGAGGCACCTGAGGGGCTGGCAGCAACAGCAGCGGGATTGAATGAAGCTACTCTTTCCTCTCACCCCGGGTTGTTATCGTTCCTCTTCTTCCTGCCCGCGCACCCCTGTCTTACTGTGCTTGCCACGGACGCTGCTCTCATCGCGTCCTCCTTGCTGCTCCAAACGTTCATCTCTCCAAGACCTACCGCTGCCAGCCCTGCAGGCCTCGCAGGGCTGCTGCAGGGCTTGAGTGCTGCAGCAAGGCAAAGCGAGGGGGAAGGTGGGAGAGCAGGAGCAGCAGGAGCGAGCCCGTTGAGTGAGATGATGGGCATGATGGAGCGCACAGGGTATTGGATGGCACGTGCTGGCATGGTGAGGGATGTGCTGCATGGGCTGCTGCTCAACCTCAGTGTGTTCCTCGTCGCGCTCGGCTGTGCTGTCGCTGCTGCAGAGGCTGCAGGGCAGCATACCACGTGTGCTGCGGTGGCATGGGGTGTGGAGGGGGCAGCGAGGCATGGAGGGGGGCTGCTGGAGCTGTGGCAGGCAGCTTGCGGGGGTGTGCAAGATTGGTGGACTGCGGTGTTTCAAGGGGGTGGTGTGGGAGCACGGTAGAAGAGTAAAATACCGTATGTGAGCCAGTGACGGAGCACAGTGACCGAGGGGTGATAGCCAACTCACGGCTGCATTTGTTGTTTGTGCCCATGTGGGTGGTGCAAATCGTGGTGGTACTGTAATTTACGGTAGCCCCTAATTTGTTAAGAGCATGGGTTTGGTTTTGGGCATCATGGCAGAACGTCTGCGTCAGGCCCTCAGATATGGACACATCTAGGCATGGTCCATATCGCTCAGTGTTGTTGCAGCCGGTTCATACTGAGTTGTTAGGGTTAATACAGTATGGAGATTATCGGTACCTACGTGTACATGCATGAGTTCTTTTTGCTGTTCCTAGGTGTCAGAAACAGAATGGCGTGTTCACTATTGTGGGTTGGGGTACATACCGTATCGCCCTGGATATAAGCGCAGGCCTAATAAAAGCGCATGCACTTATATCTGGAGCAATGCGTTTATGGCCGATCCTCAATTATAAGGGCACCCCCTGTAAAACCCTGTTTTATTATAAGCACATGCATAAATTTTTATTTAAAATCTGCTAAACACAGTAACGAGTTTCAAAATTGAAGCGAGCATAATTTCTTAATCACTTCGTTTGACTCGCGAAGACCTCAGAAGCTGCGAGTCAGGTCAAGATGTGCTGGCATAGGGGCAAAATGACGTGTCTTTGTCCCTGTGTGTTGGAAAAAAATTGGTAGCGCGCGATTCTGTTTCCTGGCGCTAAAAAATTTCGCCTCGATTGGAATGGTACGACTGAGATGTACATTTTGATGCTATAAAATTATATATATGTATCTGTCATTATATAAGCGCATGCGCTTATAAAAATGACTCAATTAGAAGCGCACCCCCCTAAAAAGCTCTGCTTTATTATAAGCGCAGGTGCGCTTCTATCCGGGGTAATACGGTAATGTCAAAATGTTATAGTGCTTACATTTGTGTAGGCTGTAATGGGATAGCCCACAAAGGGTACAACCCAATTAGGGTTAGTACTTGTACCCACTTTTCTGCTCAATGCATTCATTCTCGTTCAGTATTCTGACATGGTATCAGAACTTGTTTGTGTAGCGGATTTGTGCGCCCATAACCCCCCAGGCGAACGCGCCTGTAACCACCCATAGGGTCAATCGGGCATCCACAGTGCAGATCTGCTGACACCCCCCTACGCTGGGAGGCCCAGGACTGAGCACAGCGGCAATAACCTACATGTGCATACATCGGGATTCGAACCCGAGACCGCTCTGATACCATGTCAGAATCCCAACCACTTAGACCATTGGGATAAACGGGCTTGTTAAGTAGCGGGTCCGTGCGCCCACAACCCCCCAAGACAACGAGCCTGTACCCTTCCCTAGGATCAATCGGGGATCACCAGTGGACCTCTGACAACCCCCCCGCACTGGGATGACCGAAGTGCACACACTGGGATTCAGGTGTGTCTCAGGTAGACCCACTCCCCGGGACTGTGCCTGTCAAGGTCGCTGTAGACTCAGGTGCTGCTAGAGGTATTGCGTCAAGGGGTGCTGCGTTTGGGGGTGCTGAGCCTGCGAGTGCGGAGCCTGGGGGTGCTGAGCTTGAGGGTGCGGAGCCTTGGGGTGCTGAGTCTGAGGGTGCGGAGTCTGGGGGTGCGGAGCTTGGGGGTACTAAGCCTGAGGGTGCGGAGCCTGGGGGTGCTGAGTCTGAGAGTGCGGAGTCCGGGGGTGCTGAGCCTAGGGGTACTGCGTCTGCTGGAGGTCCTGCGGGTGCCTCGCCACGAGTGTCTCCCTGGCAGGAGCCTCTCTCACCGCAGCAGCTGCGCGAGTGGTTTGCACGGCGCACACGCCTTAGGAGTGGAGCAGCAGGAGCAGGAGGCTGTGCCGCAGGAGGAACTTGAGCTGGAGGTGCTTGAGCTGTTAGTCTTGGAGGTGCTGGAGTTACTGCTGGAGCTGGAGGTACCGGAGGTGCTGGAGCTGCTGGTCCTGGAGGTGCTCGTACTAGAGGTACTAGAGCTGCCGGAGCTGGTGGTGTTGTCAGAATGTTATGTTTGTCTAGCCTGCAGTGGGGTACTCAATAGTGAGTATAGCCCAATCTAGGGTTTGCTATATGTACTCAACTGCTTGCTAGTGAAACCCCTCTTCTCTGTTTCATTCATTCGCTCACATTCTAACATGGTATCAGAGCAGGTCGACCCTCCTGGGTCGATCCTGTGCATGGGCCCACCTAAGCTTCTGCTGTCACCACTGCCTATCGCGCGCCTCGGGCGCGCGCTGTCTTTCTGGCGCGCGGCCTTTTTTTTTCTTCCCGCCGCGCGCTCGAGGCGCGCGGCGGTTTTCTGCCCGTCGCGCCGCCCTGCAGAGCGCGCGACGCCCTGCCTGCCCGTCATGCGCCCCGTGGCGCGCGACGGTGCCCTGCCCGTCGTGCGCCCCGAGGCGTGCGGCGGTCTCGTCGCCTGCCGCGACGCACCGGGGGCCCGCGCACCGCCCCCCCCCCCCCCCCCCCCCCCTTCCCGTCGCCTGTCGCGGCGCACCGGGGGCCCGCGCACCCCCCCCCCCCCCCCCCCCCCCCCCCGCGCGGCCCCCCAGGGCACCGCGACGGGCGACGAGAGGGGCGACCTGGGAGGGGTCGTGCGTCGCCCCTTCTGTCGCCCGTCACGGCGCCCTGGGGGGCCGCGCGTCGGCCCTTCCCGTCTTCGTCGCTGCCCTACCCTGCCCTGCCGTCCTGCCCCTGCCCTGTCCCGGCCCTGCCCTGCCCGGCCCTGCTTCGTCGCGGCCCTGCCCTGCTGCCGCCCCCGTTGCGGCCCTGCCCTGCTGCCGCCCCTGCTGCGGCCCTGCCCTGTGTTGGGGTTTGGGAGTGGCGAGTATGGGGGTGATGGGTGTGTGCCGCCTCCCCTGCTCCTCCTCCTCCTCCGTCTCCCACTACTGCAGCTGCCGCTGAGGGGGGTGGGTGTGTGGGAGCCGACGGAGTGTTGCTAGTGGGTGGAGTGTGAGTGGTGCTAGAGGTGCAGCAAAGGGTGTGTGAAAGGGGGGGTGAGACAGTTAGAGGGAGGTTGGGTGGAGGTAGCCGTCGTGTCGTCAGCAACGCTAGTAGTCCGGAGGTGCGCCTCCGGTAGCCCAGCGAGCCTGCTGCGCCAGTCGCCCGTGGGTCCGTTGCTCCTGCCGCTCGTCTTAGCCGCGGAGCCAGTTACTCCTGTAGTCCGGAGGTGCGCTTCCGGTAGCCACAGTGCGCGCCGCTCCTGTTGCCCGTGTGTCTGCAGCTTCAGCCGTTGCCTCCTCTCTCCTTTCCTATCAGTCCAGCCCCTCCTCCTCACTTGCTCTCTGTGATATCCTCTAGCTTTGCTTATAATTGTGAACTATAAACTGCTACTTCTTGTACTTGTGCTCGGACTGTGTGGTGACATTGTGATCCACCCTGAGCTTGTTTTTGCTTTGCTTTGCTTGTTGTGCTGATTACACCCCACTTTGGCTATGGGGGTGTGTCAGAATGTTATGTTTGTCTAGCCTGCAGTGGGGTACTCAATAGTGAGTACAGCCCAATCTAGGGTTTGCTATATGTACTCAACTGCTTGCTAGTGAAACCCCTCTTCTCTGTTTCATTCATTCGCTCACATTCTAACAGGTGTTGGAGGCGCTGGAGCTGGAGACCCTAGAGCTGGAGACCCTGGAGCTGGAGGCACTGACCCTGGAGCTGGAGGAGCTGGAGATGGAGACACAGGCGCTGGAGGCGCTGGACCTGGAGGCACTGACGCTGGAGGCGTTGGAGCTGGAGGCTCTAGAGCTGGAGACACTGGCGCTGGAGGCGCTGGAGCTGGAGGAGCTGGAGCTGGAGACCCTGGAGCTGGAGGCACTGGAGTTGGAGGCGCTGGAGCTGGAGGTGCTGGAGCTGGAGGCACTGGATCTGGAGACCCTGGAGCTGGAGGTGCTGGCGCTGGGGGTGCTAGAGCTGGCGGCACTGGTGTTGGAGGCACTGTGCAGCAGCGACCATTATTCGTTACACCGCCACCGTCATCTCTGCCGCCACCTGACTCGGTCCTTCGCCAGGTTCTTAGTCTCCTGTCTTCTACTGGCCTTCCTCCTAGCTTACTGAGTCCACCGCCTCACAAGTCGCAGCCACAGTTAAAGCCAGACTCCCCACTGCCTGCTCCTTCTCCTTACGCTGAGCAGACAGACTCTTTTACAGAGCGTCGTGAGCTTGAGTCTCGTCCTGCCTCGCCTGTTTGAGCTGTTTGCACTGGTCGTCGTGTTCCTCATCCGCGTCCCCCTATTGTCCCCGGCACGCACATTATGGCACTTCGTCCTTCCTCTGTTCCACTGCGAGTTCCCCAGCCGCCTCCTCCTACGTCCTCTCTTCCTGACCCTGAGTCTGACTTAGCTCGTGCTGCCAGTCCTACTGTCCCTCGTCTTCTAGCCATTGTTGTCACTGACCCTTCGTTTGAGTCCACTGCTGCGTCTGCCCTAGTTGCTGAGCTTGTTGACTTTGCCGCCGCCTGTCGTCTCGACTACGCCACTAGTCTTGTTGCTGAGTTTGAGTCTGACTGTTCTCCGTCCGCTGGGGGTGAGTGAGCTCTTGCCATAGACGTCCTTGAGGACAGGCAGGAGGACTTTGAGGGTCTTGCAGCTTCTATACCTCATCTCGTGGCCATGCTGCTTGCACCTGAGGGAGACCCGGATGCAACATACATCCCGACCCCGCGCTCTTACGCAGAGGCGATTACGGGTCGTTACTCCTCTTAATGGCAGACAGCCATGGACGCAGAGATAGCATCCTGGAAGTCCACAGACACCTACGTCGACGCAGTTCCCCCTTCTGGAGCGAACATAGTCGATGGCATGTGGATTTTCAGGGTGAAGCGGCCGCCGGGTTCTCCGCCTGCCTTCAAGGCTCGTTACGTTGCACGAGGCTTCAGTCAGCGACAGGGAGTTGACTTCTTCCAGACCTTCTCCCCTACCCCGAAGATGACCACTCTTCGGGTTCTGCTGCACATTGGCGCTCAGCGTGACTACGAGCTGCACTCTCTTGACTTC